ATACCCAATCATACACACGAGATCTAGTCATATTTGACTCCAAAAACACTAACCAAGCTTCTTATACCCTCTCAAAGCTTTGTGTGTGTAGCCGAAGTCCTATGAGTTTTCGGTTTTGGAGCATCTAAACGGAAAAACACTACTTTAGTTACGGGATCCGGTTGAGGTTCTAGTTCTTATACCCAATCATACACACGAGATCTAGTCATATTTGACTCCAAAAACACTAACCAAGCTTCTTATACCCTCTCAAAGCTTTGTGGGTGTGGCCGAAGTCCTATGAGTTTTCGGTTTTGGAGCTTCTAAACGGAAAAAACACTAATTTAGCTTACGGGATCCGGTTGAGGTTCTAGTTATTATATCCAATCATACACAGGAGATCTAGTCATATTTGACTCCAAAAAAAACTAAACAAGCTTCTTATTGCCTATTAAAGCTTTGTGGGTGTGGCCGAAGTACTATGAGTTTTCGGTTTTAGAGCTTTTAAACGGAAAAAACACTACTTTAGCTTACGGGAACATGTTGCAGTTCTAGTTCTTATACCCAATCATACACACGAGATCTAGTCATATTTGACTCCAAAAACACTAACCAAGCTTCTTATACCCTCTCAAAGCTTTGTGGGTGTAGCCGTAGTCCTATGAGTTTTCGGTTTTGGAGCTTCTAAACGGAAAAAAAACACTACTTTAGCTTACGGGATCCGGTTGAGGTTCTAGTTCTTATACCCAATCATACACACGAGATCTAGTCATATTTGACTCCAAAAACACTAACCAAGCTTCTTATACCCTCTCAAAGCTTTGTGGGTGTGGCCGAAGTCCTATGAGTTTTCGGTTTTGGAGCTTCTAAACGGAAAAAACACTACTTTAGCTTACGGGATCCGGTTGAGGTTCTAGTTCTTATATCCAATCATACACACGAGATCTAGTCATATTTGACTCCAAAAAAACTAAACAAGCTTCTTATTGCCTATTAAAGCTTTGTGGGTGTGGCCGAAGTACTATGAGTTTTCGGTTTTAGAGCTTTTTAAACGGAAAAACACTACTTTAGCTTACGGGAACCGGTTGCAGTTCTAGTTCTTATACCCAATCATACACACGAGATCTAGTCATATTTGACTCCAAAAACACTAACCAAGCTTCTTATACCCTCTCAAAGCTTTGTGGGTGTGGCCGAAGTCCTATGAGTTTCGGTTTTGGAGCTTCTAAACGGAAAAAACACTACTTTAGCTTACGGGATCCGGTTGAGGTTCTAGTTCTTAATAGCAGTACAATATAGCGTTTTTAATAGTTCTGCTATAGTTGAGTTTTGAAAAAATTGTCATAGCATTTTCGGAAAGGCAAATGCTACGGTAGAATGACCGCGAAAACATTTCATAGTAGCGCCTAAATTTTGGTTCTACAATAGCATAAATGACAATTAAAACGTTATTGTATGGGTTACCGGGAAAGTAAAATTTTCGTTGCCTCCAAAATTTTTCTAAGTAATAACAAAATAAATTAAAAAGAGAAAAAAAAAGAATTCGAAGAGAAATATATAGATTAGGTTAAATTATTGGTGATACACTTTGGCCATCTTTTCTTCTTCTTTTTCTCTGAAACTCGATCTGAATTAAACTGGATTAGAAACCCTCACACTCGATCCCAATTTGTTTTTCTTTTCTTTCACTCTCGATCCCTCTCGATCCGTCTTAGCCTCAATTCCTCACAGGCTCAATCCCTCTCCGTCCCAATCGTCAGTTTCGTTTTCGATCTACAAAGCCCTCTAAATCTCCATATGGATCGATCCAAATCAAATTGGTGAGGTCGAAACTGACACATTTTACCGAGTGTTTGTTATTTGTAATGATTTGGTGTTTATTTCATGTTGGGTTTGATCCGTTTATGTTGTTTTGCTCTTTTGCAGGAAGATTTCAGTTAAGTTTCAGTAGAAGGTAATTGAAATTGTAGTGTATTACTTTCAATTTGGGATTTCGATTGATGTTTCTCTGAGTTGAATCGATTTTTATGTGATGTTATTGTGTATTCGTGTAGCTGATAACTATGTTGTGTTGGGTGTTGTGTTGATAATCGTGTTGCGTTGCCGAGGGTTCCTGATTTTTTTTAAGCTGAGGTAAGCTCACTTCGATTCTCTAGATATAGCTTTTCACTACGAAACTGAACTGGTTGAAGCATAATTTCATATAGCTTTGTTCTTTATCCTGGTTTCAATGTGACATTCTGAAATAATGTGAACTTATAGAGCTTCATCAAGTAATTATGTTTTGTATAATTCTTGAATATCTTCCACACAAATACCCGAGGGCTCCTCTCTTTGCTATTGGAACTAGCATTGGAGCAAATGTTCTGGTACTAAATTAGGTACCTCAGTATTTTACTAAGCTTTGATTGATGTTGAAGTGTAAAGATTTTCTTGTTTATCATGGACCTTCTGTTGCATATTGCTATGTTGGCTACATTCAAAAAAATTTCAGACTAAAAGAATAGGTTGCCTGTTTAGGTTTGTTAGTTACCATTGATATGAATGAGGAGCTTCCTGAATCTGTCTCATGCTGCAGGTCAAATACCTTGGGAAAGAGGGTGAAAAGACTCCTCTTAGGGGTGTTGTCGCTATTTGCTCTCCATGGGACCTTTTGGTGAGCTCTTTTTCATATATTTCTTCTTCTATAAATATTGATTCATGTCTTAAGTTCTCTCTAATCACTTGATGGAAAATTAAGACTTCTTTTATTTTCTTCATTGGGTTTCGTTTGATACAAGTGGATATTTGATACATTCTGCTTTTTCTTTTCCTTTTTCTCCTCCCAACAAGATTGGTGACTGGTTTATCTGTCGGACGTTGAAACAAAAGCTCTACGACAAATCTCTCACCATCGGACTCCAAGGTTAGTTTTTACGGCTTACTAATTGGGAAGGCATCAAAAAGGTGAGTAGTTTTATCCACTGATCCATAAATTATACAGTCTACTAGGTAGATGCATTGAAACAAGCAGAGTTGCCCAACTTCACATAATTAACGTTGACTGTTGCCCAACTTCATTACTCCATCAGTCACGTTACATCCATAAGAGTTGTCTTATTTATCACTTCACCTTTTTTCTAGCTTTTGTGTTTTATATTTGCCAATCTTTACATACGTTTATTGTTTTTATAATCATTCTATTGCAGATATCTTTATTGATGTTGGTAGTGTTGATATGTTTTGGTCTCAATCTCAGATAGAAAGGCTAATCTAATCAGATTTCGTTTTCTGAATCTTTCAGTCTCAATCTACCAGTACGATGGGTATGGTCTCACGAGGAGAAAGTTGCTGTATCAAGAAGAGAATGTTGTCCAAGAATAGCAAAAACCGCAAGCCACCAAAATGAGAAAAAAAATCGTTGTACATTTTGATTATTTACATTTGAAATCTGAAAGATAGTCAAGTTTTGATATGTACCAATGAAGAAAAAAAATACAACAACATTTTATTTCTTAAGAATAACAAAGTAAAATAGAAAATAATTAAACTATACAAAACACAAAATTACAAGGAAATTTAGTGAGTTTTTGATTTAGATTTTAGGGCATAGATAGGGTTTGAGGTTTTGGTGTAGAATTTAAAATATAATTTTCTAAATTTATTAACAGAAAAATTATAAATTTTTATGGATTAACGAATATTTAATTTATGGCATATAAATTCACAGTTGAAAAATATTTTTTGCTAATTCTCAATGAAAAATAAAATAAAATCGGAAGTTAATATATATAAAATTAAAAATACTCAATACATAATTATAACTACAATTAAAAATACTCAATACATAATTATAACTATAAATAAAATTTAAAGCTTAGGGTGTAGGATTTTGAGATTTAGAGTATAAATATATAGGATATAGGGGTTGAAGAATAGTTTTAGTGTTATTAATAATATAAGAAGATTTTAGATTTAGATTTACAAAATAGAAAGAATACACAATCAATCATTGAGATTTTTTTTTTTAAAATCATGATCTTTAATTTAACATTTAGGGTATAGGGTTTGAGGTTTAGGGTATAGAGTTTAGGGTTTAGAGTATTGGGTATAAGAGTATAAAATTTAATAAATATATATATATATATATATATATATATATATATATATATAGTGTTATTAACAAATAGAAATATAAATGAATTAATGAATTTAACCACTTTCAAAATTCTAAACTCAAAACCCTAACATTAATACGTAAAAGCCAACCCCTAAATTATGAATTGTAACCTATAAACTTGACATTCAAACATATAAATTACTATAAAATTAAAATTTAATTATTTTGTAAATGAAGTTGATTATGAGATATGTTATCAAATTATATATAAATAGTTGTATGATATAAACCCCCGTTCGAAAACGCGGCCTCCGCGGCCGCTTAGGCGGCGATTAAGCGGTCGGCGGACGGTGGCCGCCGGGATTTGTCAAAATCGGGTAGTTAATCGGAAAAATCAATTTTTTTGTAGTTTATGGTTAAAGATTTTATTATACATGTCAGATCTATCATATTTGTGCAAAAAATTGAACAAAAACAAGTTAAAAATGATGTTTAATATATGAAAACGAGCAGCCACCATTTTTAGGGTTTGAAACTCGTCAACCTTATGTGAAGAAGATGATTGTCTAATGTCTATTTTACCCTTCATTAAAGAATAAGTCAAAACGGGAATTAAAATGAGATATGGGGACTCGAACTCGGGAATATAAGTGCAGAATATCTGCCGTAACCACTACACCAAACCGACTTTCAATGTTTTCTAAACAAATAAATTATATATATACACACATTTATATAAATGCCCTAAAACTAATCCCCGATTAATTTCCGTGTAATCCCCGATTAACCGATTAATCGCTAGGCCCGGCTCGAGCGCCCGACTAACGCCTAGCGATTTTTTGAACAAGGATATAAACTAAATGAAATAAGAAATAATAACAAAAAAAAAAAAAAGAAACGCTCTCGAGATATGGTGACGGCGACGCTAGGGTTTTAACCCAACAATGCGATTGATTCTTCCGGTGATACTGTTTAAAGGGGTTGTTACGGTGGTTGGTGTTTCTCTCCGGTGGATTAGTAGCAGGGATGTGGCTTCCTTTCGTGGGTGGTTTGATTCTCAGGGCTTCCCACGGGTCAGATCTGAAGTGCCTTCGGTTCCATCGGATACTGCCATGGTTGTGATTTTTATATGGTGGGTTGAAGAGGTTACCGTGATTCTCATTCGATGGATCGATATTCAAAATTCCCAATGGGTAGGGTTGGAGAATAAACGTTTCTTCTGGGTTATTATGGTGGATTTGATTGTGGTCAGGCGGTATTGTGTGGTTTATTTGGCTTCTCTCCAGTGGTGGGCTATGAATCGGTGCGTATTGAGGTGGAAAGAACGGCGGCAATGGCTTCAGGATCCCATCGGGTATGAGATGTTTGATCATCTGGTTTTGTTTATTGGTCTCTTTCAGAGATCTTCGGTGAGTTACATGTTTATTTTCTTTCACAATCTCTGGGATCTGGTAAAGAATTTTCCGGTGAATATCTCTTATCAAAACGGGAATTGGATACGGTTTGAGGAATTTAATTCGGTTGGAAATCGGTCTGATGTTTCTCGGTTAGTCGTTGAGGGCAGTCCAATTGAGACACAAAGAGGAGTGGCAGACTACAAGCTGGTTGCCTATAAAATAGAATCACGGTTTAATGTTTTTACTTATCTCATCAAACCTTCAGAATTTCAAAGCATTGAGAGCCCATTTTTAGGCTTGAGTCTCAGGTTTCGGCTGGTTCTTCTGAGAGTGTTTATATCTTGGGCTTGTTATATTCTGGTTTTTATTGAATTGGGGAGAGTGATGTCTCAAAGCGGTTTGGTTATAAAGGGCTCACATGGTAATAACATAAATAAGACTCTGAAGCTTAAGATCAAAGTCCCATGTTTTGATAACTCAGCTTTGATCGAGGGGTATTCAAAGAGTCTGATTGGGAGATACATGAACCCTGCAATGCAGGACATGACATCTTTGTTACACTCGGTTATGTCGAGAGCTTGTTGTAAGGTTATTTTCTTAGTCAATTTTGCTGGTCTCAAACCTCAGATATTATTTGCATACTATTTCATCTGCCCTTTTGAAATAACAATGATAAAAGGAATGAGTTATCCTATTTTTTGTTTGTTTGATATCTCGGTGACGGAGATTACGGCAAAGTATTATCGATTGTATTTTTTATCGGAATTTTGGTATTTGATTTGGACACAGATAGTAGATAGCAATGTACGGTCTATGGTGATTTCTAGTGCAATATGGGGAATGACTCCCACATTCACGATGGGGATCTGGTTTGGATTATCAAGGTTGACTCAAGGTTCGGAGAGAGAAACGAAATCTCAATTAACAGCGGTATTGAGTAGATCCCGATCTGATCTTGAGTGTATGGAGTTGAGTTTCGGTGGTTGTAACAAACGGTTTTACTATGGTTTGATTTCCGGTTTTTTATGGTTGGTTGTGGATAATAGAAGGGTTAAAATATCTATATTTAATTGTGATTGGGTTTCTTTAAAGAAGAATCAAAGGAATGAAGGCCATAAATCGACGCATGTGGCATGGTAAAGGACTATACGGGTGGACGCAACCCACCAAAACACAAGGTTGATAAATGAAGGTTTTGAGTTGGAATTGTCAAGGACTTGGGAATAAGGCAACTATCGGTTATCTTAGGGATATATGGAAACAACACCGGCCAGACTTTTTATTTCTTTCGGAAACAAAACAACCTTCTTGGTTTATGGAAAAATTTATCGGTCATTTTGGTTACAAAAATTTAAAAACGGTTGATCCTATCGGTTGTAGTGGCGGTTTAGCCCTTTATTATAATAATGATTTTAATGTTTCAATTATTTATGAAAGTAATCGATTAATTGATGTTGAGGCGGTGATAAAAGGAAAAACAATACATCTTACTTTCGTTTATGGTAATCCGGTTCCGAAAAATAGAGATCAAGTTTGGGAACGGTTAACACGGATCGGTTTGAGTAGAGACACACCTTGGTTCTTAATAGGAGATTTTAATGAATTAACCGGAAATCACGAAAAAAGAGGTGGTAATTTAAGACATGCATCTTCTTTTATCCCTTTTAATTTAATGATTCAAAATTACGGTCTTTTGGGGTTTCCATATATCGGAGATTGGTTATCATGGCGGGGTTGGCGGGATAAGAAACCAATACGGTGTCGGTTGGATAGAGCTTTAGCAAACGAAGATTGGCATGAATTATTCTGCAATTCTTTCGTTGAATATTTACCAATGGTAGCTTCCGACCATTCACCGGTGGTAGCTACGCTCATGGATAAGGTCCCACGTGGGAAAAGAAATTTCAGGTTTGATAAAAGATGGATTGGGAAGGAAGGATTACTGGAGGCAATTTCAAATGGTTGGAATTCTAACTCTGAGTTAGGAGAAGGAAAATTTGTGGAAAAATTGACTAATTGTAGGCGGGCTATTTCGCAGTGGAGGAAAGATTTAACTCCCTATGGGCGGCAAACAATTGAGGAACTAAAATCGGAATTACTTCTGGCACAGAGAGATGATTTGAGACCACGGGAGGAGATTACAGAATTAACATTGCGGTTGAAAGAGGCTTATCGAGATGAAGAATTGTATTGGCATCAGAAAAGTAGGAGCTTTTCGATGCAATTAGGGGATAATAATTCAAAGTATTTTCATGCACTAACAAAACAAAGACGGGCAAGGAATCGAATAACGGGTTTACATGATGAAAACGGGATTTGGTCTGCAGAGGATAAAGATATTCAAAATATAGCGGTATCTTATTTTAGGGAACTGTTCACTACAACTAAGCCTGAGGCTTTTGAGGAATCCTTGGCAGAAGTTCAAACTCTGATTACGGATCAGATTAATAATTTTCTAACGGCACCCGCAACGGAATGTGAGGTGAGAACGGTTTTGTTTATGATGCATCCAGAAAAAGCGCCAGGACCTGATGGAATGACAGCCTTATTTTTCCAAAAGGCTTGGGTCACTATTAAAACAGACCTTCTTTTTCTGGTCAACTCTTTTTTAGAGGATGAAATTTTTGATAAACGGTTAATTACGACTAATATTTGTCTGATTCCAAAAACGGAAAGACCGACACGGATGACGGAATTACGGCCTATCAGTCTTTGCAATGTTGGGTATAAAATTATATCGAAGATTCTTTGCCAAAGACTTAAGACGGTGCTACCAAAACTGATTTCGGAAACACAATCAGCTTTTGTAGAAGGACGATTGATTTCAAATAATATTCTCATTGCACAAGAGATGTTCCATGGGTTGAGAACTAACCCGTCATGTAAAGGAAAATTTATGGCCATTAAAACGGATATGAGTAAAGCTTATGATAGGGTGGAATGGATTTTCATAGAGAAGGTTTTAAGAAAATTGGGTTTCTGTGAAAAATGGATTAAATGGATAATGTGGTGTATTACAACGGTCCAATATAGAGTTCTCCTTAATGGACAACCTAGAGGACTAATAGTACCAGAGAGGGGTTTACGACAAGGAGACCCGCTCTCACCTTATTTATTCATCCTATGCACAGAAGTGCTAATTGCGAATATTCGGAAAGCTGAACGGGAAAAATTAATTACGGGTATCAAAGTAGCAAATGCTAGCCCTTCGGTTTCACATCTATTATTTGCGGATGATAGCTTGTTTTTTTGCAAGGCTAACAAGGATCAGTGTGGGGTAATTTTGGGGATTTTAAAGAATTATGAAGCGGTCTCGGGACAACAAATTAATTTTTTAAAATCCTCGATTCAGTTTGGACATAAAGTAGATGATGATATTAAGGAAGAAATCAAATCTACCTTAGGTATCACTAATATCGGTGGAATGGGTTCTTATCTTGGATTGCCGGAGAGTTTAGGGGGATCGAAGACAAAAATCTTCTCTTTTGTCAGAGATAGATTACAAACAAGGATTAACGGATGGTCGGCAAAATTTTTATCAAAAGGGGGAAAAGAAGTGATGATAAAATCGGTAGCTGCAGCATTACCAACTTATGTTATGTCATGCTTCAGATTACCAAAAACAATCACTTCTAAACTTACTAGTGCGGTTGCTAATTTTTGGTGGAGCTCAAATGGTGATTCCAGAGGTATGCACTGGATGGCTTGGAATAAATTGTGCAATAGCAAATCGGAAGGAGGATTAGGATTTCGGAACGTTGACGATTTTAATTCAGCTTTACTAGCAAAACAATTATGGCGGTTGATCACGGTTCCAGATTCTCTTTTTGCAAAGGTGTTTAAAGGACGATATTTTAGGAAATCCAATCCTTTGGAAAATATTAAATCATACTCTCCATCTTATGGATGGCGGAGTATATGTTCAGCTAGATCTCTGGTTAATAAAGGACTTATTAAAAGAGTCGGATCTGGGACATCCATCTCGGTTTGGGAGGATCCCTGGATTCCAGCTCAATTCCCGAGACCAGCAAAAAGTAATGGTTCAGTTGCTGATCCATCCTTAAAAGTTACCGATCTTATTGATAGTCGGTCGAATTTTTGGAATATTGATCTCTTAAAAGCGATCTTTGATCCAGAAGATGTCGCGCTAATTAGCGCCATACCTGTGGGTGCGCCAACAAAGGAAGATTCTTTGGGTTGGCATTTTACAAAATCCGGAATATATACAGTCAAATCGGGATATCATACCATACGGATAGAAAAGTCGGAGACCAATTTACCCTTTTTTGGCCCTGACATCAACCTGCTAAAAGCACATTCTTGGAAAGTACAATGTCCACCTAAGATACGCCATTTCTTGTGGCAAATCTTAACGGATTGTGTACCTGTTACGGAAAATTTACGAAAAAGAGGAATTGATTGTGACACGGGATGTGCCAGATGTGGCGCCTCAGAGGAAACGATTAATCATACAATATTTCAGTGCCACCCGGCACGACAGATTTGGGCGCTTTCACAGATTCCTACGGCTATGGGGATTTTTCCAACGGAATCTAATTTTGCGAATTTGGATCATTTATTTTGGAGAATACCTTCGGAAGTTGATTCATCAGCCTTCCCATGGATTATTTGGTATATTTGGAAAGCAAGGAACGAAAAGATCTTTGAAAATATAGATAAAGACCCAATAGAGGTATTACGATTAGCGGAAAAAGAGGCACAATTGTGGCAGTCAACTCAATTTGAGCTCCATAATGAAAATCATGGTTCTATGAACTTGGTGAATCGAACTCGAGTGAGAGATGCCTTACTTGAGTCGAATTATTCTGGATACCGTTGTTTTGTGGATGGATCATGGAAAGGAAGTGATAAGTTCTCCGGTACAGGGTGGTTCTGTACATCATCAAATGGAGAGCCGCCAACCATGGGAGCTGCGAACCTCCGTAGAAGTCTATCTCCACTACATGCCGAAGTCGAGGCCCTTCTCTGGGCGATGAAGTGTATGATTGGTGCAGATCATCAAGAGGTAGCGTTCTTAACAGACTGTTCAGACCTGGTGAAGATGGTGTCTTCTCCAACCGAATGGCCGGCGTTTTCAGTGTATTTGGAGGAATTACAGAGCGACAAGGAGGAGTTTTCATCTTTTTCTTTATCTTTAATTTCTCGTAGGGCTAATGTTAAAGCGGATAATCTGGCACGAAAAGTTCGTACAGAACCGCTTCATATCACGTATGTAAACAACATTCCTCAGGAATGGCTCTTTTGAGTTTTAATTAATTTCGGATGACAAAAAAAAAAAAAGTTGTATGATATACTCTAGTTTATCTTTTGTCATATACTAAAACTTAATCTACTAATTAGAAAAATAACATTACGAAAAAACTATTAAAATACAAATAAACAGACTTGTTTCTGATTGGCTAATTCTTAAAGGTGAGGATCAACCCCATTTGATATCCACCGTTGATAACTATAAAATCAACGGACAGATTTACTTCTCGCACTTCTCTACACCTAACATTATCTACTCTTCTTCCCCGAGACTAACTCGAGATCTTTGGCTTTCCTCCCTCTCTCTTAGCTATGGCTGCTTTCACTTGTACCTCTCTCGTCCGCCAGTTTCTCTCAAGTGACATCTTTACCATCGCCCTCATTCTCTGCTCGGCGGATGTTCGCCTTGTTACTGGAATCAGGAGGATTGAGACTCTTGTCTTTCTCACTCTCCGGCTTCGTTGACTTCGATTCATCCTAGGGTATGTCTTCTCCTCCTTACTTATGACTCATTTAACTTTCTCGAATTTGAATTGGGTTTTTTTAATCTAGTTAATGTGGATTTGAGATTGGATGCATCTGTTAGATTTTTTTGCGTTTACATATCTCTCAGATTTTGTTGCGTTTTTAATTCGTTACACAAGAGTGAAACATGGCAAAGGATGATACTTATGAATTTAGGAGCTTCACTGAGATTGATGTTCATTTTTTGTTGTTGCAGTGACTTGTTCAAGCTTTTGCTTGCTTTTAAGATTTGCTGTAAGTAATTTGCCACTACTCTTGCATTTTTTCCTAGCTGAGATTGTCTGCATTTATCATTTATGGTAGTTTCTCTTTAACATTGAACACACACACACACACATAACAAATTATGGGTCTTTGAAGATCACACCTTAGAGTTCGATATTAGTTGCTCAAAGTTATCACGCTTAGTTCGACATTTTTTTATATCATTGTTGCTTTTTTGTGTTTTTATTTACTGATATCTCCAATTTTAATAGATTTATGTTTCCATGAAGTAGAAGGAATCGAAATCAAGATGCTTCGGTCGCCGCGAAGTGTGTCGTCTACTGTTTCAATGGAAGAAGAAGCTATGGCTGTTTTTTTTTTTTTGTCTATTTTTTTTTTAAACAAAATTATACTGTAGAATAAAGCAAAAGGCCTAATGGGCTCTGTGAAACCACAAAACAATTTAAGACACAATAAGCCCAATTGGATTAGTGTAATTTATGTATACAATTATTTTTGTAATTTTTTTTGTAAAATTACTAGTTTTAATATTAATATATATCACATTTATTTTTTAATTTATATTAGGAAATACACAAATACTGTATAAATACATTCATGTATAAAATACAAATTTTCAACGTATTACAGAATTATATATATATATATATATAGATAAATAATTAATTATATTAACAGCAATTATTAATCGCTATTGTCAATTTAAATATTGCATATCAAACAACGCTATGTTATCAAATATCTTAATAGCAGTTACAAAAACCGCTACGTAAAATATCTTAATATCTTAATACGACCTACTATAACGGGCGTAGACATAGCGCTTTCTACACCGCTATAATATCAATATATAGCGGTTTTCAGATGCTAAGAATACCCTCATTTCCTGTAGTGGAGCTTCTAAACGGAAAAACACTACTTTAGCTTACGGGATCCGGTTGAGGTTCTAGTTCTTATACCCAATCATACACACGAGATCTAGTCATATTTGACTCCAAAAACACTAACCAAGCTTCTTATACCCTCTCGAAGCTTTGTGTGTGTAGCCGAAGTCCTATGAGTTTTCGGTTTTGGAGCATCTAAACGGAAAAACACTACTTTAGCTTACGGGATCCGGTTGAGGTTCTAGTTCTTATACCCAATCATACACACGAGATCTAGTCATATTTGACTCCAAAAACACTAACCAAGCTTCTTATACCCTCTCAAAGCTTTGTGGGTGTGGCCGAAGTCCTATGAGTTTTCGGTTTTGGAGCTTCTAAACGGAAAAACACTACTTTAGCTTACGGGATCCGGTTGAGGTTCTAGTTATTATATCCAATCATACACAGGAGATCTAGTCATATTTGACTCCAAAAAAACTAAACAAGCTTCTTATTGCCTATTAAAGCTTTGTGGGTGTGGCCGAAGTACTATGAGTTTTCGGTTTTAGAGCTTTTAAACGGAAAAACACTACTTTAGCTTACGGGAACCGGTTGCAGTTCTAGTTCTTATACCCAATCATACACACGAGATCTAGTCATATTTGACTCCAAAAACACTAACCAAGCTTCTTATACCCTCTCAAACCTTTGTGGGTGTAGCCGTAGTCCTATGAGTTTTCGGTTTTGGAGCTTCTAAACGGAAAAACACTACTTTAGCTTACGGGATCCGGTTGAGGTTCTAGTTCTTATACCCAATCATACACACGAGATCTAGTCATATTTGACTCCAAAAACACTAACCAAGCTTCTTATACCCTCTCAAAGCTTTGTGGGTGTGGCCGAAGTCCTATGAGTTTTCGGTTTTGGAGCTTCTAAACGGAAAAACACTACTTTAGCTTACGGGATCCGGTTGAGGTTCTAGTTCTTATATCCAATCATACACACGAGATCTAGTCATATTTGACTCCAAAAAAACTAAACAAGCTTCTTATTGCCTGTTAAAGCTTTGTGGGTGTGGCCGAAGTACTATGAGTTTTCGGTTTTAGAGCTTTTAAACGGAAAAACACTACTTTAGCTTACGGGAACCGGTTGAAGTTCTAGTTCTTATACCCAATCATACACACGAGATCTAGTCATATTTGACTCCAAAAACACTAACCAAGCTTCTTATACCCTCTCAAAGCTTTGTGGGTGTAGCCGTAGTCCTATGAGTTTTCGGTTTTGGAGCTTCTAAACGGAAAAACACTACTTTAGCTTACGGGATCCGGTTGAGGTTCTAGTTCTTATACCCAATCATACACACGAGATCTAGTCATATTTGACTCCAAAAACACTAACCAAGCTTCTTATACCCTCTCAAAGCTTTGTGGGTGTGGCCGAAGTCCTATGAGTTTTCGGTTTTGGAGCTTCTAAACGGAAAAACACTACTTTAGCTTACGGGATCCGGTTGAGGTTCTAGTTCTTATATCCAATCATACACACGAGATCTAGTCATATTTTACTCCAAAAAAACTAAACATGCTTCTTATTGCCTATCAAAGCTTTGTGGGTGTGGCCGAAGTACTATGAGTTTTCGGTTTTAGAGCTTTTAAACGGAAAAACACTACATTAGCTTACGGGAACCGGTTGCAGTTCTAGTTCTTATACCCAATCATACACACGAGATCTAGTCATATTGGACTCCAAAAACAATAACCAAGCTTCTTATACCCTCTCAAAGCTTTGTGGGTGTGGCCGTAGTCCTATGAGTTTTCGGTTTTGGAGCTTCTAAACGGAAAAACACTACTTTAGCTTACGGGATCCGGTTGAGGTTCTAGTTCTTATACCCAATCATACACACGAGATCTAGTCATATTTGACTCCAAAAACACTAACCAAGCTTCTTATACCCTCTCAAAGCTTTGTGGGCATAGCCGAAGTCCTATGAGTTTTCGGTTTTGGAGCTTCTAAACGGAAAAACACTACTTTAGCTTACGAGATCCGGTTGCGGTTCTAGTTCTTATACCCAATCATACACACGATATCTAGTCATATTTGACTCCCAAAACACTAACCAAGCTTCTTATACCCTCTCAAAGCTTTGTGGGTGTGGCCGAAGTCCTATGAGTTTTCGGTTTTTGACCTTCTAAACGGAAAAACACTACTTTAGCTTACGGGATCCGGTTACTGTTCTAGTTCTTATACCCAATCATACACACGAGATCTAGTTATATTTGACTCCAAAAATACTAACCAAGCTTCTTATACCCTCTCAAAGCTTTGTGGGTGTGGCCGAAGTCCTATGAGTTTTCGGTTTTGGAGCTTTTAAACGGAAAAACACTACTTTAGCTTACGGGATCCAGTTGCGGTTCTAGTTCTTATACCCAATCATACACACGAGATCTAGTCATTATTTTACTCCAAAAATACTAACCAAGCTTCTTATACCCTCTCAAAGCTTTGTGGGTGTGACCGAAGTCCTATGAGTTTTCGGTTTTGGAGCTTCTAAACGGAAAAAACACTACTTTAGCTTACGGGATCCGGTTACTGTTCTAGTTCTTATACCCAATCATACACACGAGATCTAGTCATATTTGACTCCAAAAATACTAACCAAGCTTCTTATACCCTCTCAAAGCTTTGTGGGTGTGGCCGAAGTCCTATGAGTTTTCGGTTTTGGAGCTTTTAAACGGAAAAACACTACTTTAGCTTACGGGATCCAGTTGCGGTTCTAGTTCTTATACCCAATCATACACACGAGATCTAGTCATATTTGACTCCAAAAATACTAACCAAGCTTCTTATACCCTCTCAAAGCTTTGTGGGTGTGGCCGAAGTCCTATGAGTTTTCGGTTTTGGAGCTTTTAAACGGAAAAACACTACTTTAGCTTACGGGATCCGTTTGCGGTTCTAGTTCTTATACCCAATCATACACACGAGATCTAGTCATATTTGACTCCAAAAATACTAACCAAGCTTTTTATACCCTCTCAAAGCTTTGTGGGTGTGGCCGAAGTCCTATGAGTTTTCGGTTTTAGAGCTTTTAAACGGAAAAAACACTACTTTTGCTTACGGGATCCGGTTGCGGTTCTAGTTCTTATACCCAATCATACACACGAGATCTAGTCATATTTGACTCCAAAAACACTAACCAAGCTTCTTATACCCTCTCAAAGCTTTGTGGGTGTGGCCGTAGTCCTCTGAGTTTTCGGTTTTGGAGCTTCTAAACGGAAAAACACTACTTTAGCTTACGGGATCCGGTTGAGGTTCTAGTTCTTATACCCAATCATACACACGAGATCTTGTCATATTTGACTCCAAAAACACTAACCAAGCTTCTTATACCCTCTCAAAGCTTTGTGGGTGTGGCCGAAGTCCTATGAGTTTTCGGTTTTGGAGCTTCTAAACGCAAAAACACTACTTTAGCTTACGGGATCCGGTTGAGGTTCTAGTTCTTATATCCAATCATACACACGAGATCTAATCATATTTGACTCCAAAAAAACTAAACAAGCTTCTTATTGCCTAATAAAGCTTTGTGGGTGTGGCCGAAGTACTATGAGTTTTCGGTTTTAGAGCTTTTAAACGGAAAAACACTACTTTAGCTTACGGGAACCGGTTGCAGTTCTAGTTCTTATACCCAATCATACACACGAGATCTAGTCATATTTGACTCCAAAAACACTAACCAAGCTTCTTATACCCTCTCAAAGCTTTGTGGGTGTAGCCGTAGTCCTATGAGTTTTCGGTTTTGGAGCTTCTAAACGGAAAAACACTACTTTAGCTTACGGGATCCGGTTGAGGTTCTAGTTCTTATACCCAATCATACACACGAGATCTAGTCATATTTGACTCCAAAAATACTAACCAAGCTTCTTATACCCTCTCAAAGCTTTGTGGGTGTGGCCGAAGTCCTATGAGTTTTCGGTTTTAGAGCTTTTAAACGGAAAAACACTACTTTTGCTTACGGGATCCGGTTGCGGTTCTAGTTCTTATACCCAATCATACACACGAGATCTAGTCATATTTGACTCCAAAAATACTAACCAAGCTTCTTATACCCTCTCATACACACCATTGTTTATACCAACTTTCATTTTGTTTCTT